CAGTAAGAAACACCAAAAATCCAACAGAAGAGTGGGCAAAGGAAATAAACAGACAATGTATAGGAACATAAATAAAAATGGCTTGTAAACACATGAAACAGCATTTGGCTTCACTTCCGATGAAGATATGTGTGTAAAATCACTTTCATCCATTGGCCCGGCTACAACCCAACGGATGGATGGCTCACAGTGTTGGTGAAGCAACACTCTCACACACAGCTGAGGGTGGTATAACCCGTCTCCCTCTTGGGCCATTATCTACCCAAGTCAGCGTGTGGCTGGCCTGCAACCCTGCTCTATCTAGGAACACCTTCTGTGAAGGAACACACACATGAACACAGAGACACATCCATGAGGCTGCTCACTGCTGCACTGACCAGAAGCAACCAAGTAGTCCACAGGGGACTGATTAATAGCCATCATATGTCCACGAACCTGAATCCTGGGCAGCCACTTAATAATTAGGTGGCTCTATAGTAGCTTATCTCTAAGAGGTACCAAGAAATGAAAAAGCAAAGTAGAGACCCATGTGTCCAAGTGTAATGTCTACTTTAAGAAAAGGGTCTATAGTTTTGTATATGTCCAAGAAATTTCTGGAAGGATTCACAAGAGACTCAACAGCAGCTTCTATTGCAGAGAGAGGGATCAGGGGTCTGGGATGTGCAGGCAGAAAAGGGAAAAGTACAGGGATGTGCAGATAGAGAAGGGAAATAAGGATTTCCAGGGTAGAATGCATTTTTAATTCTTATGGCTTCTGGCTTGTTCTAAGAACTACTCAGAAATATCTTAAACCTCTAGTGAATAAAAATTCCTATTTTAAAATCTGTCTAATCCCTATTCACGACTCCATTTGGACAAGATCAAACACTGTAAGAAAGGAAAGTCATTTTGGTTTTCATAACCTCCCTTTGGAATGCTCTGGGCCCTGCTGGTCCCCAGGATTTACCTTACTCCAGTCCTCCTGCCAACAGCACCCCAGACCCATGCCCACCCATCCCCTTAGGCTTGCCTGCTCTGTGGCTCAGGAGCCTGGCCCCTCTGACAGGCTGAAGTGGAAGAGATGTGAGCGGCCTTCAATTTAGGAGTCTCATCTAAACAGGTTCACCCCAACTGCCCATTTTAAGTCAGAGAAAGACAAATACCATACGATTTCACTCATATGTGGAATTTAGAAAACAAAACAGATCGTAAGCATCCACTGCATGAAAATAACCAAGTGGCTTTATCATTGTGAGGACCCCCCAAGAGAAGGAAGGTGTGACAAGCAAGCTTGGCAGGGATGGGGGGCCCACGTTCTCACAGGTGGGTAGTTTCAAAGTAGAGACAGGTCGTAAGGGATCCCAGGGCCCTGACACTTGAGGACAAGCCACATTCTAGCACAAGGCTAGAGCTGTTGGTGGGGTGGGGCATGTTTCAGGACATCTTGCACGAGCTTTGGCTGTTGGATTAGAACAGTGTGAGGAGCAGAATTCTATCTATCAGCCTTTGTGGTTTTGTTCTGAAGCCGACAATATTAGGCTCCACTGCTTGGGACCAGCACCAAACTTCTGGTTTTAATGAACCCATTTCTGGTTTTATGGAAAAGCTAGACTTTTACATAGACTCATTCAGAGGTGGACAACCATCTGGTCCACTTGGACTCATGCCACTGCCAACCTCCATGTCCCGCAGTAAGGGGACATCCTGCGGGTCCCACCATTCCTCACCACTCTACAATTCCTCCCCGCAGGGAAGGTGGTGAGTCCTCTGTTCAAAAGACCCTTTTACAAGGTTTACTCTGTGGTGTCAACCTTCCCAGTCAGAGAGGGGCCAAGGGGGGTCAATGGATCCTGGAGTGTTCTCCTACAGATGGTAGTCATGGGGGCCTCATCCCTCAGGTGCCTCTGATGAGAAAGGGCTGCAACTCTGAGTCTGAGAGAGACCAACAACTCTGACTTCTGGAAGGTTTTCCTCCTGTGGACTCCCTGGAATCTGAACCATGTGTCTTCTCCAGGTGAAAGGCTTTTTTTCACCTGCTGCATGCTGAGGGTTGCTCAGCAGTCTAGTATGGGGACAATGAGCTCAGACTCCCACCTGGGTTCCAATCCTTGGTGACCTTGAGTAAATGACTCACCCTCTCTAAGCCTCAGTTTACTCATCTGTAACACCATCTACCTCTTAGTGTTGTTAGGAGGACCACTGAGATAGTATATTTAAGAAGAGTGCCTGCTCAACAGAAGCACCCAATAAGAATTCCCTGGCCTCATTATTGGTGGTGGTGGTATACGAAGGCGTGTTAAGGAGGTAGGAAACCATCTGGTGAGGAGCTCATGCTGCAAAGTACCCAGATATGGGTCTAAGAGCACCAGCCATCAGACCTCAGATGAATTACTTGAACCTCACTTTCCCTAACCTATAGAATGGGGGAAGCATCTGCCCCTCCTGTGGTGGCTGACATGAAGTAGGTGCACGGCTCACATCCCTGGGATTGGCACACACTCAGCGCCCAATAAATGTTAAGACGGTGTCCCTTTGACTATTACTATTATCTTTCATTATTATTAACAGTTATTAGGTTTGTGAAATAAAGCATGTGCTGGGACAGAGAGCCATCCCTCCTTAAAACCCCAAGGAGGTTTTCCTCCAGTGTGATCTCTCAGACCCAGATGAGGAGGAAGGCCTGCTTCCCCATCACAGTTATCCCGGGCCTTCTCAGCATTTCAGACTTTCAGCTGGAGGACTGAACAAGCCCTGGGGGCTCCCCCACCCTTGAAATGCTCGCTGGATGGATGCGGTACAGCAGGCACTGGGGGGCTTGCTCCCTCAACACTCGTCTCCAGACTTTCTCCCCTGCCTTCCTGGAAAGCCAAATACTTGATCCTCCAGCCAACCCTGAAGTCCAGGGCACTGGTCATGTGTCACAGCTCTGACCAATGAGGGACAAGGAGAAGGCTATTGAGTTGGTCTTCAAGGTCTTTTCAGGTTCAACTCAACATTCAGATTCACAAGGTCTCCTAAGTTCAAGTAGACATGGGGCTGCTTCCTCAGAAGGAATAAGGCAGGAACTGCAGTTTGCTAGTTGGACTCTTCTGTGAGTGTCCACACAGCCGTCCAGGAGCTAGGCAGGAGCCTGAGGGTATGAAACACCCCTCAAGGAGGGTGTGTGGAGCCATCCCGGTTTAAGACCCTCATGTTCTCAGGGGCCAGTATCTCCGACAATCACTCCATGAGTGTGCCTAACAGGAGATTCTTTTTTTTTTTTTTTTTTTAAAGATTTATTCATTGATTTTAGAAAGAGAGACAGCCAGCCGGGGGAGGGGCAGAGGAAGAGAGAGCGTCTCAAGCAGACTCCCTGCTGAGCGTGAAGCCAGACATGGGGCTCGATCCCAGGCCCCTGAAACCATGACCTGAGCTGAAACCAAGGGTCAGACGCTCAACCAACTGAGCTGCCCCAGGAAATTCTAGATTAAGGCTATCCACACTGGTTTGAGCTGGTCACAAGCAGCTTTAGCCCATTGGAACTGGTTTGAGGCATCCGACTTTGTTTTGATTTGGTTTAGAACAGTCTAAGCTGGTTCAGAGAAGTTGAGTCTTCTGGAATGCTGCAAGTGAGAGGTACTTCTCAGAGCACCTAGGCATGGATACTCCTTCCTGGTCCTTCTCCATGGCCCTCCCCTCCAGTTAGGGGGCTGACTCAAGAGCCAGGGGAGTCTAATGTCCAAATCATTCCCCTAGGCAGTTTGAGGGAGTTATACCCACATGACACCATGATACTTTGAAAAATGAGCTGCTTGGATCCACAAGAGCCCACCTCACTGGAACAGTGTGACTGGTACACGCCATCCTGACATTCTGATCACCCAGGAAAGTGGTGCATCTTCCCTATTTATGAGATGTCGAGTCCTCTGAATCAGGAACCTAATCAACCCTACCACGGGGGCATGGAGTGGGTGTTGTCTCTTCCGGCCAATCATTAGGTCCTGAAAAAAACTAAACCTAGCCAGTTGGATTGGAATTATTATAACCTATTGTGACCTGATGAAAACCAGTTTGATCCAGTTTTAACCATTAAGCACCACATGTAAACAGCTGGGCAAAACCCATTTCAGCCTGCTTGAGTTGGTCAAAATGGACTCAAGTGTATTTGAACTGTATAACATGGATTCCAACAGTTCGAAACTGTTTTTAATCTAGTTTGAGCAACACTGAGCCAATATAATGTTGAACACGCCAAAATTGTGTTGAGCCACTCAATTCATTTTCAACCAGTTTGAATTGGGTTAGCCTGATTCAAACTAGTCCCTTGAAAGGATATTTGGGGGCCTTGGTTTCCTAGATGTCCGCTTTTTACTAAAAAGGAAAACCAGGGTAGGAAAGGTTCTAAAGTTATTTATCTCTGATGACTGATTTACCTTATTCCCATAAATACTCATAAAAATTAATTACCAGCTTACTGCAAGAAGTAATAAAATCCACACTTTTTATTGTAACACTAGCAACAGCAGGAAACAGCCTCCTGGCTAAAGAAAGATCCTATTTAAGAGGCTCTTTATGGTGTTGTTGGAGGACCTTGGAAAGGAGCAGCCCAAGCTTCCCTGAGACTAGTCAGATGGTGCAAAGTTGGCTCAACACTGAATGCTGAAATCCAATATTAACCCCCTCAAAAAAGACAGGAGAATGGAGGGAAATGAAGTGTGATAAAGGAGTAACAGCCTGTATTTGGATGCAGTTATATCCACCCTAATCAAAAGTGTTAGATCATAATCAGTTGCTTATACAGACACATTTCAATTTTTAACCCGATCGATAATCAACTGAACCACCTCCCTCCATACCAATATGCGCTTACAAAGTGTTCCAACAACCAAATGCCTGAGCACCTTTGCTTATCGTAACACTGTTTTTACCTCGAAGGTGTGCTTTCTACACAAGCTTTGCAGGAGAAAACCAAAAGTAAAAATACCATTTGCTTTGAGAGAAAAATGCAACTGTTCTCTAAGAGAAAATTCAAGGTCACTTACCAGCCACAAAACTTGGAAATGATGCCACCTTCTTCGTCTGTTAGGAAATATGAAAAACAAAACAAAACAAACACATGACAGTTGTAAGTAGATGGCCTGAAAGATCTAGACTAAGAAGAGTACCGTATGTGAAAAGCTAAACCCCACTGAGTGTCTGATGTTCCTAAGAAGTCAGCTCCAGAAAGCAAACTAATGGCATTCAGGCACCATGGTGTTTAGGCAGGACACATGGAATCCATTCCCATGGGACAACTTGGGGTACAAAAGGCCATCATCTAAAACATAGGGACCCCCAGATTTGCATGTCTGCTAGAAGGGAGCCTAGAGACCATACAACCAATGATTCTCCCCTGCCTTCCTGGAAAGCCAAATACTTGATCCTCTAGCCAACCCTGAAGTCCAGGGCACTGGTCATGTGTCACAGCTCTGGCCTACAACTAGATAACAGCCACATTAGTGTGTGTAATCCAGGAAACCACCCAAGACTGGCACAACAAACTCCACAGCTAAATACAGACAAGAGGACACACGGAAGAGGAGAGGAAGGGCAGATACATGGTCAAGAGCTAAATGGACCTGTGGAACTGTCTGAGGGAGGGGGAATGCCATGTGCTTGGAGAGGGGAGAGAAACAGATTTTCACACCAGTGAGCCTGCACGGGGAAGACAAATCCCCATAACATTCGGCTTTGAAAACCAGAGGGACCTATTTCATGAGTTCTTACAACCAGCAGTACTTAAAGCCTGGAACTTTAAAAACCAGCAGGATCATGGGAGAGCTGGGAGGCTGAGAGGAAACTGAGTCCCCAACCTTAAAGAGATGCTTCTAGGGCGCCTGGGTGGCTCAGATGGTTAAGCGTCTGCCTTCGGCTCAGGTCATGATCCCAGGGTCCTGGGATCGAGTCCCGCATCGGGCTCTCTGCTCCTTGGGAGCCTGCTTCTCCCTCTGCCTCTCTCTCTCTCTCTCTGATGAATAAATAAATAAAATCTTTAAAAAAAAAAAAAAGAGATGCTTCTAAACATCCTTTAGCGGAAAAGACAGCCCTTCACAACAAAGAATGTTCTGGCCCAAATGTCAATGCTGCCATTGTTGAGTAACCCTAACTTAGAATATAACTGTCAGATAATGGAGTAGAATGAGCTTTGTCAAACCAGGGAGCACAAATGAACCCCACACACACGCCACTGGAAACACATGAACACACAGTGGTATAAGCCTGAATCAGCAGGAAAGAACCTTTTCTTCCTTCTCCTACAGGGACACCCAACTTTGCTTGACTGAATCCCCACTTCCAAGGCACTGGCTGGGATGAGAACATGGCGGAAAGGGTGAGCAGACCATGATGGCATGGGTAGCTCCAATACTAGGACCTTAGGCCACAACTCTTATCCTTGGAAAAAATTACCTCTGGGGTGTTGTTATTGTCCACGGGTCCATTGAGATCAGAGCGTTGCTGCTTCCTCGGCTGCTCCAAGCCATTGCACACCTGGAAACCAGGAAGTGAAAGATGAAGATGGTGCTTTTATATGTTAGAGAAATAAACCAAGATACAATATGATACAATTTTATGAAATGCATGTGTATGTAAGTATGTGTGTGTATATATATATGTGCACATACAGACATAATTTCAACTCTTCTGCAATTAACATGTATTCTTTTATATTTATAAAATGTTTTTAAGTCATATTTTCTCTTTTTTTTACCATCTGTCACCACATAACATTATTACAATATTATTGACTATATTCCTGTGCTGTACTTTTCAACTCTGTGACTTATTTTATAACTGGATGTTTGTACCCCTTAATCCCCTTCCCCTATTTTGCCCATCACCCCCCACCCCCCCTCCCATTACCCTCTGGAAACCACCAGTTTGTTCTCTATATTTATGAGTCTGTTTGTTTGTTTGTTTGTTCGTCTATTCTGTCTTTTAGATTGCACATATAAGTGAAACCATATGGTATTTGTCTTTCTCTGTCTGGCTTATTTCACTTAGCATAATACCCTCCAGGTCCATCCATGTTGTTGTAAATGGCAATATCTCATACTTTTTTTATGGCTGAGCTATGTTCCATTGTGTGTGTGTGTGTATATGCCACATCTTCTTTCTCCATTTTTCTATTAATGGACACTTGGGCTGCTTCCGTATCTTGGCTATTGCAAATAATGCTACAATAAACATAGGGGTGCATATATCTTTTCAAATTAGTGTTTTTGTTTTCTTTGGGTAAACACCCAGCAGTGGAATTACTGAATTATATGGTAGTTCTATTTTTTAATTTTTTGAGGAATCCCCCCATACTGTTTTCCACAGTGGCTGCACCAACTTACATTTCCACCATCAGTGCAAAAGAATTCCCTTTCTCCACATCCTCACCAATGCTTGTTATTTCTTATCTTTTTTACTTTAGCCATTCTGACACATGTGAGGTGATACCTCCCATTGTAGTTTTGATTTGTATTTTCCTGATGCTGAGTGATAGTGGACATTTTTTCATGTGTCTGTTGGCCATCTGTATGCCCTTCTTTGGAAAAGTGTCTATTCATGTCTCTGCCATTTTTTAATATGGTTTTTCTTTTAGTGTTGAGTTGCATAATTTTATATATATTTTAGATATTAACTCCTTATTGGGTATGTCATTTTTAAATACCTTCTGCTATTCAGTAGGTTGTCTTTTTGTTTTGTTGACGGTTTCCTTTGCTGGGCAAAAACTTTTCATTTTGATGAAGTCCCAACAGTTTATTTTTGCTTTTGTTTCCCTTGCCTCAGAAGACGTATCTGGAAAAATGTTCCTATGACCAATGCCAAAGAAATTACTGCCTGTGTTCTCCTCTAGAATTTTTATGGCTTCAGGTCTCACATTTAGGTCTTTAATTCATTTTGAGTTTATTTTTGTGTATGGCGTAAGAAAATGGTCCAGTTTCACTTTTTTTGCATAGTCAGCCATCCAGCTTTCCCAGCACCATTACTGAAGACACTATCTTTCTCCCATTGTATATTCTTGGCTCCTATATTACAGATTACTTGACCATATAAGCATGGGCTTATTTCTTGACTTTCTATTCTGTTTCATTGATCTGTGTGTCTATTTTTGTGCCAGTACCATACTGTTTTGATTACTACTGCCTTGTAGTGTATCTTGATCACTGGGATTGTGATACCTCAGCTTTGTTCTTCTTTCTCAAGACTGCTTTGGCTATTTGGGATCTTTTGTGTTTATGTACAAATTTTAGGATTATTTGTTCTAGCTCTATGAAAAATGCTATTGGTATATTGATAGGGATTGCACTGAATCTGTAGATTGCTTTGTGTAGGATGGACACTTTAACAACATTAATTTCCATTCTATGAGTATGATATGTCTTACCATTTGTTTGTGTCATCTTCATATTCTGAATCAAATTTTCTAATTTTATTATTTAATATTTTTTAATTGTGGTAAAACACACATAACATTAAATTTACCATCTTATCCGCTTTAAGTGTATAGTTTGGTGGCATTAAGAACATTAACATTCTGCAACTATCACCATCATCCCTCTCCAGAATTCTTTTCATCTTGCTCATCTGAAATTATGTATGCATTAAACATTAACATTAAACAAAATTTCCCATTACCCTCTCCCCCCAGACCCTGGTTGTCTCTGTTAATTTAACAACTCTAGGAACCTCATATAAGTAGAATCTTACCTTTTTCTGACTGGCTTGTTTCACTTAGCATGATGCCCTCAATGTTCATCCATGTTGTAACATGTGTCATAATTTCCTGCCTTTTTAAGACTGAGTAATATTCTACTGTTTGTATATACCACATTTTATTTATCCATTCATCTATCGACGGACATTTGGGTTGCTTCCTCCTTTGGTTATTGCAAATAATGCTGCTCTGAACATGGGTACAAATATTTTTTAGAGTTCCTGTTTCAATTCTCTGGGTATACACCCTTAAGTGGAATTGCAGGATTATACTATAATTCTATTTTTAATTTTTAAGGAACCCCCATATTGTTTTCCAGCCACTGTACCATTTTACATTCCCAGCAACAATGTCCAAAATCATATTTCTAAAAAACCTGAATTCATAGTTTAATGCAAATTAGTCAATCTACTACTAGAAAAAACAAAATGTTCCAAGGACACATCACAAGTCTTCTCTTAAAGAGGACATCAAACCAGGATAAGGAGCAAGATGGCGGAGGAGTAGGAGACCTGGATTTCGTCTCCTCTCAGGAATTCAGCTGGATAGGGATCAAACCATTCTGAACACCTACAAACT